CAACAGTTTTGAAAAATATATAAACATAGTATATTTATATGCAAATCACACGATCAAATAAGTAAATATTTACAATAAGAAGAATGAAAATAATAAGAAATCTAAGTTGTGAAGAAATCGTTATTGTTAAAATTGTGTTTGGTCTTCATATCAATAAAAGTGTTATCCGAATAGAAATTCTATATTATCATGTTCTTTCTGTTATAAGGTTCATCTTGTAACATTGCCTAGAGATTCTCTCGTGTAAAATAAATAGTTGTTGATCGTAGCATGATGTACTGTTATGACTTTAATTCTTTGCAAACGATGATTCTTACGCGATGATAACCGGATTGCACTGAACATTAGTTCGCGTGTAAGCGCCATGCTTTTTCACGTATCCATAAAATCGGTTTTAACTTTCTTTTTTTCCTCCACCAGCTTAACGTCCGTTACATGCAAATTATGTTCGCTCTTAGCAGCAAACTTGATGACAGCTTGCGTTGAGACTTGGGTTGTGTGTCGCAGATCCAGGCGTTTTAATGCTTCACATTTCGCTAGATGATCGAGAGTCGTTTCAGTGAGTAACTTGCAATTTGCTAGGTTCAGCGACGCCAGATTCGATAACGATGTCAGATGCGCTACTCCGGAGTCGGTGAGCCTGCCAATCGAAGAGAGATCTAAAGTTTCAAGATCCGATAATTGCTGGACTATATATTTTACTCCTCGATCCGTGAGATCACATCCGGCTAAAGATAGATTCTTGAGATGTTTCAATCGTGATGTTTTATCAATAATGCCAGGTCTTGAATCTGTTGGTGAATCCAAGATTTCTTGCAAAACAGTGTCATTCAAAGAGGTAACATAACTCAAATTCAGCTTTTCTAGAGGCGGACAGGTGCACCTTTTCAGGGCACGAACACCGGCCCAAGTACAACCCTGAAGAGACAATGTCCGTAACTGCGGTAACCTTTCCAACAGCCAAGCTAATTGCATTTTATTGATGTTGGTCCAGTCCAGCGAAAGACACTCGGGTTGTCGGCGGACAATAACCGTCAAATGTACGGAACGAAGGTTATAGTGCGACATGTCGAGTTTCTTCCACAGACTGAAATCTGTACTGTATCTTGCCCAGGTACGGCAAACCAAGGCACAATTAAGTAGATCCTTTATACTGAGGAATCTGAATACCGCAAGCACTACTGTCTTATTGTACACCAAATTCTGTTCGTTTTCGCCATCCGTTTCTTGAATAAGCGACGGCGGCGCTGGCCTAACCACCACCTGTGGCCTTACTAAAGATCTGCTGCTCGAGGCAATCAACTGCATAGCTAACTGAGTACGCTGCTGAGTCATTCTCTGTTCACCTTCGGCTGGCTCCCCGGGCGAATCGTTCCACGCCTGAGGAAAATAAAGCACGCGGAATGTATACAGCAACGCTCTATACAACGCGGCTTATGCTTATCTAGAGATTCAATCGTGAAAATATGTAAAAATTATTCTAGTGTAAACATAAAGAGTGTTTTTCATTTGGTGACACAAATCCATACAAATCGACAAGTGTCTTTGTTATTCTCTGAGTCAAGAACAATGATGAAGACAAAATGATGTTTGTGTCGATATGTGTTACTAAATGGAAAGCACCAACGATTTTTTTATAATTTCTATATAAAAGAATTTACATACGTCGTTAGGATCAAGCCTCGATTGTTTACTCGGTGTCATAGCTCGTTCAGAATCTGTCGTTGGCGCTGAAGAAGCTGCACTGGATATTGATAGTTTTCGCGTGCGACCCCTTGCGTGACGCGGCCGACAATCTGAGTTCCGACCTCGCTCATAACACTCTGGACACTCCCAACTATTTGGCAAATCATCATTGACAGTTATCTCCTTGGAATTCAAGCCTATACATTCTGGATGTACAATGTCGAAGCAGATTGAACATTCCATTAAAGTAGATGGTGTTGTGGGGAAAGATTTACCTGCAATTATTTAAATATTCGATTTATAGGAGAAAAGGGATATATGAGGTGAGACAATGGTTGCGTTCAGCAGACTCAACTGTTGCGGAGCAGATCCGTAAGCGCTCGCTGCTATTGAATGATCTAGAAGAATACACCAATAGCAGCGAGCGCTCACGGATTCGCTCCGCAACAGTTGAGTCTGCTGAACGCGACCAATAAAATTTTGAAAATGATTTTGTTCCGACAAAGTGACAACACTGTAAACCATTATTTCCTGTTATTGAGTAGCTTGAAGTCCTCTCTACTTGCATGCAAAGGATAAACATTGGCCGCGTTCAAGTTCACAAAGCGGCTAGCTTGCTCGCCGAGCAAATGAATATAATTGGTTATTACTTATAGATCCAACCAATCATATTCAATCGCTCGATAAGCATGCCTAGCTGCTTTTCCGTCTTGAACTCGCCTTTGTCAATTGTTTCAGTCATTATATGTACAATTGGCGGCAGAAAGGTTGCGTCATTTTTTTCGATGGATTTTGGAACTCAGTCTTGCTTGTAAAGCGATTGAATGTAATTGGATAGACCCACAAGTAAGAACCAATCGCGCGATGAGCAAGCCACATTCCGAAACCCATCGAAAAAAAATTGTCGCAACCCTTCTGTCGCCGATTGTACAAGTTGGTTCATATAAAGGCGTGTTTGTATTTCATACAGGAAAAATAAAACGCGCACATACACACAATTTACATATATAATTTAAATCATATGAAAACTTAGAATATAAAAATTATTTAATTTACCAATATAAAAAAAATCATATTGTAATAAGTTATTATAATACAGTAAAGAAAATATTTTTATAGTAAATAAAAGACTTCAGGACACACTCACACACACACACACACACACACACACACACACACACACACACACACACACACACACACACACACACACGATACATGACAGTTAGAAATGTCTATTTTAAAAAAATATGAAATAAATTTATTGCAAATTACACATACCCGTTAATGGTGCAGGTGGTTGTTTCCATCCATCTAAACGACAGACTTTACAGGATGATGTGACAGGCAGCATAGGTCTAAGACATTGGCGCATGAGGCATGTTTGTTTAGCGCGACCGCTGCCTCCGAATTTGACCATGTCTTGGCAAAATACGCACTCCCGACAGTCCTGTCTAGTGCAAGCCTCACACTTCTTACATCTAGTGCGTCTCCTACGTGGAAATGCTCTCTCGGACTTGTCCGAGTTATGTCTCTGCGATTTTACAAAACCTTTTCGCGCTACTCTTAAGCGTTCCTGAAAAAGAAAGCAAGGCAAAGCAAATTAGATAAGCAAATTAGATAAGAGGTATTATTTGTTTCGATTAAGTTTCGATTAAATTTCGATTTAATATAGCGAAAGATAGATACCCTATCAACAATGGTCAAGGGTGGTGGTGGAGGTAACACAGGATTGCCTGTTACAGCTGCTTCTGGATTATCGTGTCTATGCTGCTCTACCAAACATCGAACATCGTGAATAAGAGCAACTGGATCACGCATTAGTTCCGGAACGTTCTTCTTGGTTGACGGCAATGAATGCAGATACATTACTATAGATTTCAAGCCATGCAATTCGAACTCCGTTACATGTACATGCTGATGGTGCTGCGGGACTAAGTGCTGTCGCTGTGATTCAGATATATCCAAATGACTTCTACCTAACAGCACATGCACATATCTTTCGAGGACATACCTGTGGAAGTACATAAAGCTTTACAATACACAAGACAACATGTACATCGTACTTAATAATATAAAATACATTATTCACTCTTACCACAACATTTCTGTGAAGAATGGATATCGAAATTTCTGTGGTACTTTTGTATGCTCCTCTACTTGTGCCACTTTCAATTGCATTTCTATACCGAAACTATGAAGGAAATTTCCACCAAAGACCAAAGAATCCTGAGGAGTATATACCGCATGTATCCAACCAGTCGGTATAAATAGGGTCATACCAGCCGTTAAACTTATCCTGCCACATTTGTCTACCATATCACCAAAGAATACATCTGATTGTTTGCCACTCAACACCCATTCCTGATAGAGGGTCAAGTTTTTTTCAGTGGGTGGAATTAGCCAAAAGATTTTGCCACCATGCAAAATATGATACCACACGCTTGTACCACCAAAGTCAACATGAAAGTCAGTATAACAACCTTTTACTGACATTAAGCAGTATTTCTGTACTTTTGGATACATCATATCTTCTAAAAGGTTCGTAGATTCCACCTGAGATTCCTTCAGATGTCTTGGCCATACTACGTCTACCCAATCTACTTGTCGCACTAATGCAGGCGATTGTACATAATTCTCTAACTTGGTATGACTAAATTCTAATGAGATCACATTCAACAAGCGTTCCTTGTTGGGATCCTCGTAATACTTTTGCCATTCTTTCATAGTCATATCTTCATTCTTCTGAGTATTAACGTCCATAACATCCAGCACTCTCTTAGAACCTGTCGTACAAATGTTATTAACGTCTATCGAGCATTTCTCACTCATATTTGAGACTTACCGACGCAAGTTCTGACATCATTGACAGAGAAGTTGGAGCTGGGTACTCGCAAACCCAATCCAGATTTATCCCTGAACAGCAGTGGTATCTGCAGACCATGTTTCTGCAAGTACGTTAGATTCAGCTCCGGTCCGGTCATCTCGCGAAAGAGGCCACTGAAATTGCTCAGGTCATATCTCTTGGCCTCAATCTTCTCGTCAAGTTGAAAAGTCCTGCGACCCTCAATTTCTTCATCGCCTATGGTCCAGTCGTCCGTATATAACTTCCTGGTTCGCTCGCGCTGTAAGATGACACACGTGTAATGAGATAACACGTGGATCGTACCGCTCGAGGATTACTCGACGCGACATCAACGTCGGCGTCGACGTCGTCGTCGGCGACGATGACGTCCAGCCGGATTCGCGCGTGCTCTTTGTTTACCAATTGGCGCCTCTTCGGCAGCGGGACAGAGTCGTCGGCCATTGCGGACATGCAGTCAGAAACGTATCACCGGAATCTCATCGGGGTACACGAGTGTCACCACGACAAAGGCAAGACGGATCCACGACTTATGTTAGTACGATTGTATGCGATTTGTCATGTATTATTTACATATTAATCGCAACGCGTCGGTGACGCCGCGCGAAAGCACGTTCCTCACCCGTGTATACTTCCACTGAGCAACACTACGCCATTTTCTTGCCGGCCAGTGCTGCCAACTTCTCCACCTTTCTCCTCCTACTTTGTGTCTGTGACAATCTACATTTCCGAAAGTGCGCATGTGCATTCAGTGTACTGCGCGTCGTGATCTCGAAAAAGTCGAAAGGCGTCTGAAAACCGGGGAGAGGTCGACAAAAGGCCGGAGAGAAATATCGCCGCGCAAAATATCGGTTTTGTGATTGGCGATTTTGCCTTGCGTCGAATAAGTCGTAAGTATATACGTATCTTTGATTGCTATAATCTCTGACTTGTAACGGTGCCATATCTCATATTTAGAACAGCACCCTGACTCCCAAAAAGAAATTCATTTTAGGAGTTATACGAGCTCCTAGATAGAACACAGAGTCATAATTAAATCATAATGATGTTATATGACACCATCATGATATATTTGATATTTGAACTTACAATGATAAATATAAGGTCATGATAATGTTCTTTGATATTATTATGAAATATCTGTGTTTTATTTGAGAATTTTATTTTTTTCGTCCCTTATATAGTATTATTAAATTTTTGCAAGGCTAATATTAGTATTAACTGCCCAATTAATTATTTATTTTAAGTATTAAAAGTATCGTTTGAGTATTAATAATACTTTTAATACTCAAAATAAGTAATTAATTATGAGGGTTACTGGCGGTTTCTGTCTAATTTCTTTGTTCGTTTTTTACAAACAGGAAGATACATCGCTATGAGGAGGTGCCTGACGGCGTGGCGTTTGACGCAACGTCGAAAGGGCGGGAAAACATTGAGCGGCATTTCGCGCCGATAGATCTGCGCCTGCGCAGTCCGCTATATCGTTCACGTTTGCGTCGCGTCGATTCCCACCGAAATATAGCGATTCCACGATTTTCGTGCGATTTTTTCGTCGAGAGCAAGTGTCAGATACTGCGTATAAATTCGCGTCGGGAATGTCGAATGAGATATCAGGTGATCTTTACATTGCGTAATTATTATCGTCGTGTCTTAAGTGCAACAAGTTTATTTATGACGAGTGGATCGACCGGCTGGCGCCAAGAACTTTTCGCAAACTTTTCGGTGAGTGAATCTGTTTATTGCCATGAATCAACGTTTGTTATAGTATGAGTATATTATGAATATTTGTGGCAAGGACCACAAATATTCCTCGCGTCGCCTTATTGAATATCTGTTAATAAAATATAAAATATTTGCATATATACGTTATATATATATATGTATATGAACATGCCCAGCAAACGCTAAATATTCTTGAAATATTCATGAAATATTCCTAAAATCCCAAAAAAATATTCCGAGAATACTCCAAAATATTCCGAATATTTATATAAAAGAAACATTCAAATGTCGGTTAAAAATTTCATTTGTATATCGTTACATATTCCAAGAATACCTAGTTCGCTTATGTAATTTTACAGCTTAATTGTTACAAGATTAGGTGTACACATAAGGTGCGTTTGGAGAGACGCTATTAGCTCTATTTGTGTCATTCTATCCTTGTTTTAATATCCTTGTTTTGTCTAATAAACAACGAAGATAGAATGACAGAAGTAGCGCTATTAGCGTCTCCCTGAACGTACAATAATACTGTGGAGTACTGGAGCGATTGCAAATAGGTGTTCCAAATTTACTGCCAGCACTGAAAATGCGACAGTTTACGTTACGTGCACTATAGATTTTAGTACAGTCAATCACAGTTAATTTGGAATAATAGTCATAATCGACGTGCAGTCGCGTTTCTCTTTTTTTCAAAGTACTCGTCGGGCAAATATAAATATTTCGCCGAGACGCGCCGATGCGCGGATAAGTCCCTTGGTCGAATTTCGAATTAACCTTCGGAAGATCCGTTCTTGCCGTTTGGCCGGTAAAGAACCGCGCGTCTGGCAGCGCCACTTGTCCAGTGCTTCAAAAATCAAAATTCAGACATTCAAGAATGGCGACGACTATGGAGATTGACGATGACGAGTGTGATTTACCGACCTCCAGCAGCGGGAAAGGCGAAAAGAAGCGTTTCGAAGTGAAAAAAGTAAGTGTCGACATGTGTATATGGATCATGTATGATCGATTTCGCTTGCAGTCGCTGCGCGGCGTGAAAACATAGTTTCTAACCTCATTTACGCTTTGTCACTCTGCTCGTCTTTACGGCACAATCTGTTGTCTTTGCATTGTTTACTAAAGTTCGATTGCACTAACTTTATTTTGTGTGCCTTCCAACAAGCGACACAGTACAACACAGTCATTTCATCTTTGTTTAACATTGGCAAACAATAAGGATGTAATGATCCATTGTGTCACACGTGTCATCTGTGTCGCTTGTTGGAAGACACACTTTAACTTTAAGCGAGGCTTACTCTCTCCCTCTCTGTCTCTCTGTTGGCTTCAGAAAGAAAGAGAGAGAGAGAGGGAGAGTCTAAACGCTTAAAGTTTAAATGCTTAAAGTCGAAGTAATGTTGGTGCAATTAGGCCTCCTCTAAATCTAATTATGTCTGTTTCAGTGGAACGCAGTGGCATTATGGGCTTGGGGTAAGAACTATCAAACATTACTATTATACAGCCTTCGAAGTATATCATAATAGTAAGCACAGTAACAGACTTTCTAATGTAATTTCTTACATCTTTCAGATATTGTTGTGGATAATTGTGCTATTTGCCGTAATCACATCATGGATCTGTGTATCGAATGTCAAGCAAACCAGGCTTCTGCGACTAGCGAGGAGTGCACGGTAGCCTGGGGTGTATGTAATGTAGGTTTACAATATTTTGAGATGTTAGGATCGTCAAATTTCTACTTGAATCTTATTGTAACTACTTTTGTTTTTAGCATGCCTTTCATTTTCACTGTATTTCACGTTGGCTGAAAACACGACAGGTGTGTCCACTTGATAATCGTGAATGGGAGTTTCAGAAGTGAGTAGAGCCTTGTTTAATATGTATAAATTTTGTTATATTTATATATTAATTTTGTCAAATTTTTTAAGTATGAAGTTAAAAATATTGATATATTAAATTTAGATATGAACAGATATCTTTAATAAAAAATTTAAACCTGTTTTTAATTAGTAAAATTTTTTATAAAAAATTTTAACTTAATTTTTTATTGTCTTAATTTTTTATATAATTATCTAAATATATATATATATGTGTGTTTATAACAATTTTGTCATTTCTGTTTACAGATATGGTCATTAATCGGATGTATTTACTGTACAAGTCAGATTTTTCTTTGTTATTCAACCGTTAATACTCAAGACATTCAAAACTGAAAAATTATATTTCCATATGGAAAATATAACCTTTATAGAACAATGATAAATGTATAAACGAAGAGGAAAGTGCGTGGCAAAAAGTATAGTTAAATATATCAAGTTTTTTTATGTTAGTAGCAGACCAAATTTCAATCAGTGGTTGTATGGCTAATTCAGATCACAATTATTATCAAATTATATTAAATATGTAATTTATAGATTGTAAGTCTTACCTAATAAATAATGATTATGGTACGCTTCTGATGATTTATCAAAATCATCTCTGACCATTTTTTAAATAGCAATCTCAATGAATCTTGTGATACTGCAAAATAATAAATTATCTATTGATGCAAACAATTCTTAACATTTTTTATTAAAAATATAGATACGTTTTTAAACACTTGCGTTTTGTATCACTGTATTCATCATTTGCTTTTTTGTTTCATTTAATCGTAACTTTGATTAATTCGATCTTTTAAAGATTTCTCCTAGCAAAAATTCTTGTTTTACCGTTGCACAAATATGACGGGAATGTGAGGTGAAAGCGGTGTTTTTTTTTACTCTTATCTTTAAATTACGTCCTATTCCCACCACACATTCCTCTTCATCCTATAGCTTTAATTCTAATGCGAATCGCTTTGAAAAGAATTCTCATCAATCTTTTGTGTGAATCAAAGAATATATTTTACATGTTAAATCGATTACCTCTAATTATTCACGACTTTATTTAAACGAGATATCATACAACGTTTATAATGTGGTTCGCCTTAAGATGTATTAATAGCAATGACATTTATTTAACATAGTTCGGTATAATAGATCTTTTTCATTACGCTCAAGGCGATTCCGTAAATCCGCCTCTATGCGGATACGTAGCTCCTTAACAAGATATAACGGGCACCCATCGTCGTTCATGACGTCATGTCGTAAGGCCGATCGATCGTACCAAGATCATCTCTCGAATCCCTTTTCCAGTTCTAGGGCATTCAGCAG